CTGCAGAACCACACCGAGCACTGAACTTCTGTCATGTGACCGGCAACGTTTCTCTCAGCGTCACAATCTCCATTAAACACTATTTATGAATGCACTGGAGTCATTCTTCTCTGTGAGTGAGTGTGTGAGTGTGAGTGTGTGTGCACGAGAGTGAGTTAGTGAGTGTGTGTGCACGAGAGTGAGTTAGTGAGTGTGTGTGCACGAGAGTGAGTTAGTGAGTGTGTGTGCACGAGAGTGAGTTAGTGAGTGTGTGTGCACGAGAGTGAGTTAGTGAGTGTGTGTGTGCACGAGAGAGTGAGTGCATGTGTGAGTGTGCGCGAGTGTGTGTGCTTGAGTGTGCACGAGAGTTAGTGAGTGAGTGTGTGTGTGTGTGTGTGTGCACGAGAGAGTGAGTGTGCGCGAGTGTATGTGTGCACGAGAGTGAGTGTATGTGTGCGTGAGTGTGAGTGTATGTGTGCACGAGAGTGAGTGTGAGTGTGTGTGTGCACGAGAGTGAGTTAGTGAGTGTGTGTGCACGAGAGTGAGTTAGTGAGTGTGTGTGCACGAGAGTGAGTTAGTGAGTGTGTGTGCACGAGAGAGTGAGTGCATGTGTGAGTGTGCGCGAGTGTGTGTGCGTGAGTGTGCACGAGAGTGAGTGTGTGTGTGCACGAGAGTGAGTGTGTGTGTGCACGAGAGTGAGTGTGCGCGAGTGAGTGTGTGTGTGCGTGAGTGTGTGTGCACGAGAGTGAGTGTGTGTGCACGAGAGTGAGTTAGTGCGTGAGTGTGTGTGCACGAGAGTGAGTTAGTGAGTGTGTGTGCACGAGAGTGATTTAAGCCTTCTTATAATTTGATAAAACTGAGTTTGATCTTTTAAGAGCCCTGTATTGTAAAATCATAACAGAAATAAACGTGTCTGGAGAAGTTTAGCAGAATTGTCACACCTCAGAACTGAAGATCAGCACAGAAGAGCAGTGTTACCGTGGTAAAATACCTCACTGCTCTCCAGAAACAGATATAAAACACATCACCGTTCACTAACCCCTTATAAACAGCCAAATACACTCACCTGTGTAACTTTAGACTGTTTTAGCTGTTTCTACAAGCGTCTGATCACATCATCACAAACACAACACACAGACTGAACTGAGAACACTTTATTGAATCTTATTTAATATGTTCCACATTCAGATGATTCTGTACAGTGATAATAACACACACACACTCTCACACTTACACACACTCACTCATTCACTCACTCACACACACTCTCACTCACACACACACTCACTCATTCACTCACACACACACACTCATTCACTCACACACACACTCACTCATTCACTCACTCACTCATTCACTCACTCATTCACTCACACACACACACACTCACACACACACTCACTCACTCACTCACACACACACTCACTCTCACACACACACTCACTCACACACACACTCTCACTCACACACTCACTCATTCACTCACACACACACTCACTCACACACACTCAC